GCTTGAGCCTACAGGATTATGATAGTGGCATGGGTCTTTGGTGATTGTGGTTTATGAAAGGCTTCAGAGCGCTCTGTGCTGCTCTCAGACTTGGTGGAACCACAACACCTTCATACGTAAGTGTGAAGTGCAACTTGAATCTTGAGGGCATCATGCAGGATGGAGTGGATGTATAAGCCCAGGATGTCAGAATCAGAATCAGCTTTATTGGCCAGGTGTGTCGGACACACAAGGAATTTGACTCTGGTACATCAGCTCTCAATGTGTATGCAGATATCCCCATGCAAGGGGCAAGTAAACCAGCATAAGGCTGTGTAATATAGCAAAATAAGCAGTATTAACAGGCAGTAAACAATGCAGACAGACAAAGGAATGCTCATTGTGATTTCTTATAGAGTACTTAAAAAATAGAGACCTGTATGGATCTGAATAGTCTGTATAATGTACATTTACGGGTATTTCGCTGAGGGTTATTGTCCAGTCATACTGTCGCTGGTCAAGTGTTCATCAGAGCGACAGCCTGGGGGAAGAAACTGTTCCTGTGCTTGGTTGTCTTGATGCACAGTGACTTGTAACGCCGTCCAGAGGGGAGGAGTTCAAACAGATTGTGTCCAGGGTGTGAGGGGTCTGCAGTGATCCTCTCCACCCTCCTTTTGACCCGTGCAGTGTACAGGTCTTCCATGGAGGGCAGGCTCACATCAATGACCTTTTCTGCAGTCATGACTGTCCGCTGAAGTCTGTACTTGTCCTGTTCGGTTGCTGAGCCAAACCAGACAGTGATGGAGGGGCAGAGAACAGACTCGATGATTCCTCTGTAGAACTGTATCAGCAGCATCTGGGGCAGGTCGAACTTCCTGAGCTGGCACAGGAAGTACATCCAGTGGATGATCAGGGACTCTGTTGCTTGAAGCCATGGTGGTAGCTCCGCTCCTGAATGAAGACAATGTAGGCCTCTTAAACAACTGAAAACATCTTGGGGAAAACCTGGTCCGATTAGTAGAGATGGCATCCATCCCACTTTGGATGGTGTGGCTCTCATATCTAGAAATCTGGATGAGTTTATTTTACACCCTAACGTATGACAACCCAGAGTGGAGACTAGGATCCAGGATTGCAGTCATACATGCCTCCCTGCAGTTGCAAGAATAGTACAGCAGTAGCGGTTTGCTGAAGGAGTGTGGATTCCCAAAGAGGAGAATTTTGGCATCCCTTCATTGGCTTCCAGTGTCTTTCAGGATTCATTTTAAGATTCTTTTATTTGTTTTTAAGTCTTTGAATGGTCTTGCTCCATTGTATCTTGCTGAGCTTTTATTTCCTTATAGTCCCTCTCGGTGCCTCAGATCAGCTGACCAGCTCTTGCTTGAGGTACCGTGGGCCAGGCGTAAACTCAGAGGGGACAGAGCGTTTTCCATTGTGGCTCCTAAGCTATGGAATGCGCTGCCCCTTTACATCAGGCAGGCCGCCTCGTTGGCTATTTTTAAAACTTACTTGAAGACTCACTTGTATGCTTTGGCGTTTGATATGCTATGAGACTCTGTTTGGGCTGAGTTTTGGTTGATAGTATTTTGTTATTTTGCTATGTTGGTTCTTTTATGTTATTTTATTGGTATTTTAATATTGTAGTTGTCACGTTTTTAGATGTTTTGAATTGTATCTTATGTTAAGCACTTTGTTGGCCTCGGCTGTGTTCAAGTGCTTTATACAGTGCCTTGCGAAAGTATTCGGCCCCCTTGAACTTTGCGACCTTTTGCCACATTTCAGGCTTCAAACATAAAGATATAAAACTGTAATTTTTTGTGAAGAATCAACAACAAGTGGGACACAATCATGAAGTGGAACGAAATTTATTGGATATTTCAAACTTTTTTAACAAATAAAAAACTGAATAATTGGGCGTGCAAAATTATTCAGCCCCTTTACTTTCAGTGCAGCAAACTCTCTCCAGAAGTTCAGTGAGGATCTCTGAATGATCCAATGTTGACCTAAATGACTAATGATGATAAATAGAATCCACCTGTGTGTAATCAAGTCTCCGTATAAATGCACCTGCACTGTGATAGTCTCAGAGGTCCGTTTAAAGCGCAGAGAGCATCATGAAGAACAAGGAACACACCAGGCAGGTCCGAGATACTGTTGTGGAGAAGTTTAAAGCCGGATTTGGATACAAAAAGATTTCCCAAGCTTTAAACATCCCAAGGAGCACTGTGCAAGTGATAATATTGAAATGGAAGGAGTATCAGACCACTGCAAATCTACCAAGACCTGGCCGTCCCTCTAAACTTTCAGCTCATACAAGGAGAAGACTGATCAGAGATGCAGCCAAGAGGCCCATGATCACTCTGGATGAACTGCAGAGATCTACAGCTGAGGTGGGAGACTCTGTCCATAGGACAACAATCAGTCGTATACTGCACAAATCTGGCCTTTATGGAAGAGTGGCAAGAAGAAAGCCATTTCTTAAAGATATCCATAAAAAGTGTCGTTTAAAGTTTGCCACAAGCCACCTGGGAGACACACCAAACATGTGGAAGAAGGTGCTCTGGTCAGATGAAACCAAAATCGAACTTTTTGGCAACAATGCAAAACGTTATGTTTGGCGTAAAAGCAACACAGCTCATCACCCTGAACACACCATCCCCACTGTCAAACATGGTGGTGGCAGCATCATGGTTTGGGCCTGCTTTTCTTCAGCAGGGACAGGGAAGATGGTTAAAATTGATGGGAAGATGGATGGAGCCAAATACAGGACTATTCTGGAAGGAAACCTGATGGAGTCTGCAAAAGACCTGAGACTGGGACGGAGATTTGTCTTCCAACAAGACAATGATTCAAAACATAAAGCAAAATCTACAATGGAATGGTTCACAAATAAACATATCCAGGTGTTAGAATGGCCAAGTCAAAGTCCAGACCTGAATCCAATCGAGAATCTGTGGAAAGAACTGAAAACTGCTGTTCACAAATGCTCTCCATCCAACCTCACTGAGCTCGAGCTGTTTTGCAAGGAGGAATGGGCAAAAATTTCCGTCTCTCGATGTGCAAAACTGATAGAGATATACCCCACGTGACTCACAGCTGTAATCGCAGCAAAAGGTGGCGCTACAAAGTATTAACTTAAGGGGGCTGAATAATTTTGCACGCCCAATTTTTCAGTTTTTTATTTGTTAAAAAAGTTTGACATATCCAATAAATTTCGTTCCACTTCATGATTGTGTCCCACTTGTTGTTGATTCTTCACAAAAAATTACAGTTTTATATCTTTATGTTTGAAGCCTGAAATGTGGCAAAAGGTCGCAAAGTTCAAGGGGGCCGAATACTTTCGCAAGGCACTGTATATAACACAAAACAGGACAATCAAACGTGGACTATTAAATATCAGATCTCTCTCATCTAAATCTCTGTTAGTGAATGATTTGATAAGTGAACATCACATTAACTTATTGTGTCTTACTGAAACGTGGTTACAGCAGGAAGAGTATATCAGTCTAAATGAATCCACCCCACCTGGTTACAGTAACTGTCACATCCCTCGAAGCACACTATGAAAGTTTGCTTTTGGAGTCTTTCATCCACTGGATTAAAATACTATATACATCACACTTCATCAGGAAACCAGACAAGGATGCCCACTCTCGCCATCTCTATTTGCCACTTTCATTGAACCTCTAGCAGCAGCAATACAACAGAATAATACATCCCTTGAAGCACAGGCTGAGGTGGAGGTGTTGCAGCGATTTTTGACTCAAGCTTATTAATCAACCCTAGATCTAAACATAGTTATAACTCATTTGAAAGTCTCACTCTGAGTCTCTCACACCCAAACTGGAAAACTTAAACGCCAGTATTATTTGTTATTGTATACCGTCCACCTGCTCCTTATTCAGAGTTTTTAAGTGAATTCTCAGACTTTCTGTCTGATTTAGTGCTTAGTACAGATAAAACAATCATAGTGGGCGACTTTAATATTCATGTAGATGCTGACAATGACAGCCTCAACGGTGCATTCAATTCATTATTAGACTCAGTTGGCTTTTCTCAAACTAAATAAACCCACTCACTTTCACAAAATAATTTATGGGTCTGCAAAATCATTTATATATAAAGTAGGCAGACAAAACATTAATGCTACATAAAGATATACAGTTTTCTTTTAACCTGTAAATCAAACTATAAAGCAGTTTTTGGTTGAAAGACGATGGATTACAGATACACATTGTTTTAGTTCAAGGGATCACATTCTGCTCCACAGTGCTGATATAAACAGTAGGTGACATGATTACTCTTTGGATTTGCTGGTTGTACATTTACGTGATTGGACACATAAAAGAAGAATGGCTTAGATTTGAGAGAAACCTGAAATACTGAAAGGATATTTACTGTTGGAAAGTGAATGAATTGTTACTGATGCAATACAATACAAACTCCCCAGTTATTGTGCTGCCCCTCACTGGACAAAGGTAAATACTGCAGCTGGCAGGTAGCTCTAGTTAAGTACGTTTACTAAACCTGCAAGGCATTATGTTATTGCTGGTTACGTCATCATGACTGAAAATTACTGAAACTATCTACAACATCTGCTCTACTGACATTTCATCCATCACCAGTTAGAAGGAGGCTGTTAACAAAACAGTCAGTGTCCAGGTAGTAGTTCTGAAGCTTTCTTTGAGCCAATTGCATGATCTTCGCAAATAAATGTAGTTTGCCTTGTTATCATGGACAGACTGATGTTCCAATTTCCAGTTTTTGTGATCACTTTAAGATTCGCTTTATATTTGTTATCCATGTTGGCTTAAAGGTTTAGCTTTAAATTCATTTTTGTTCAACAGTAGTTGACAAAACAATCAAGTCACTTACCCCTTCCTACTCTGATGAAGATCATGATATGATTGAAAGCTGTGGGTGAGATTGTTTTGTCAAGTTTCCAAGGTCAGAAATGGACATTAACAGTCATGAAGCAAGACAAGCATGCATGATAATTCACATTAGCCTTGACTTTTTGGATTATACTATGTTCACCTCATTGCACATGACTTGTCAAGCTTCTTTGGTGGATGTGTGAGCCATTAGGTTGGCCTTTTGGAAGGATCAGTGCACATTTTTGGTCTGCACCAGCTCAGAAAACAGCAGAAAAAACACCCACCAGTTATTTTGCTTTAATAATAAACGTAAAGATATTCAGTGTGCCATGACAGGAGACTAAATAACTGTCCAAATTCACATGTTGCTAAAGCTGGAATGAGAGAATCATTGGCATTTAAAAAAAACTGAAATAATAAATCAATTATAAATAACAATTTTCTAATGGTTTTAGCTCAAGAAGCAAATATTATTAGATACAGTTGCATTGCAGTTCCAATGGGCAGAATTTAAAAAATTGGCATATTTGCACACTACAAACAGTCACAACAAAAGGCTATAAAATCAGTTTTGTTTTCTTCCCTTTGTTTTAAAGAGTCCTCAGCGAAAAAAATCACAATCCCTTCTTGGTGCCACACTGTCCTCCAGGAAGTTAGGTGGGCAACGAATCCATCTCATAAGAGTTGCTGTACAATTGTACCTTGAGGGAATTAAAGTCTGGCCGGTTGTCTGGCTCGGCAGCCCAACATTTCAACATGATATTGTAGAGAAAGTCGGGACAGTTGGCTGGAGCTGGCATCCTGTATCCTTTGGTAACCTGCAGGTACACCTCTTGGTTGCTAAAGGCTGAGGGAGAGGTGATAGGTGAGAGAAGAAAGTAGAGGGAGGAAGTACATGTGTATTAAAAAGAAATGCAGGTGTACTGAAGTGAAAGTTAACATTTGTTTCCACACCTGGCATTACACCTGGGAGCTTTCCCATCATATTCTTGTACAGCTTTAAAAAACACATAGCAAGTATAGTTTCATACACATCACTACTAAACTGTAAAGATGTAAAAATATATCTGCTAAGCAGAGTTGTTGGCTTTCAGTTCCCTAAACCTCTTGTGAAATCACATTTTGTAATTATATTCAAGCATCTAGAAATTTGAAATGAACAGAATGTACAGTATAGTTGAGAGGCCTACAAATCAGAAATTATATCTGCTGTTAGGAGTCTTATTGGGGCTGCATGATTAATTGTTTTAAGATAATTTCAGCTCAGGTCTCTATGCAGTTTCATTTCTGAGTGACAACTGTTCATGCCATGTTAGCAGGAAGATCCACTGCATCAAACCAAATGCTCCCAATTTCTCCCTAAGCTGCATAAAAAAATAGCAAGTGTGCATTACTCCTTTTGACTAGCAGAAGAAGAGGGGTCAGAACATTGATTTAAATGATAGGCTCACAGTTTATTAAGTCTGACAGTTGTCAGCTACAAATATGTAAACCGACACTGGTTTTGCTTAGTGTAATCAGTCCTGTTTTGGCCATTCAACACTCCCAAAATTCAAAAAATCATCCAAAGCTTAAATGAGGCTTCGTCCATCGCAGTCAAATCAAATTGGTATCCTCCAAAGTTACAGCTATGTTAGTAGAAATTCTCTCTTTGTGTTTTCTTGGACAGTAGTTTAGCTTCATTGGAAGGACAGTAACAAAATAGGGAACTATGCACTAAAAGGACTGCTGAAGTCAGAAATTTACTTCAGATTTCACACAAAGATTATTTAAGGCCAGAATGAACAAGGGTGGTGTTTACTACCAAGAAAATTTGATAAAATATACAAATTGTTCTGTGAAGATGGTTTTAAAACAGAGGAAATCATGAGCCGGCTCAAGAATAAAGTGTTGGGAAAAAAACTTGGGACAACAAAAATGTGTCAGAACTGGGGAAACCCAGGGATGGCAGGAAGTAACAAATACATTTTGTCAACCCTGGTTCTGATAAAAACAATGTGCTTATATTGTGAACACAGATGCTTGTGTGTTATTACCAGTAATAATCATATTGTTTATTATGTAAGACCACCAGAATGAAAGCTGAGAACAGTGGATAAATAAAACTCTGAAGTGTTTTCATCTAAACTGAGGACACCAAATCATGTCAGTGAAATAAATGAAAGTTTCATTGTGTAACAGACTCCTCGTAGCGCTTTAGACCGCTGTGTGGCACTGTTTTGTCTTCGATGACATAGACTCTGTTCTGGTATTCATGCAAACTTTGATCTGTCCAGAACAACAAGGCAAAAAATGTCCACAAGGACTTAAACTCGATACAGTATTTCATTTCATATTTGCATTTATCACTGGCTGATAAAGTGTTCTAACCCAAAAAATGTCACTCCACTAACCTGGGTAAGGAATACCTCCATAGGTGATAATTTCATAGACCAAGATACCAAAAGACCAGACATCTGACTTGATGGAAAACCTTCCATGGCTGATGGCCTCAGGAGCACTCCATTTATAGGGAATCTTTTTATCTTCTGTGACGTAGAATGGTTCCTGGAAGCAAAATTTCTTTGTCAAAACCTGCACTGTCATTTTTATTTTAAAAAGATACAAAAATCCTTTCTCTCTCCCTGCTTACCTTGATCACTCTGGCCAGACCGAAGTCAGCCACCTTACAGATGTAATGTTCTCCTACCAGGACGTTTCGAGCTGCCAGATCTCTGTGGATGCTTTTCTGCTCCTCAAGGTATGCCATCCCGTCAGCCACCTGGGCAGCCATGTCAGTAAGTGATGCAACATCTTGAAGTTGCCCCTCTGGACCTGAGGCACAACACCACCCATCCCACCACAGAGGAATCATCACCAAGGTTAAAACCCCAGAACTAAAAACCTAATAGATCTTGTGATTTTAATACATGCAATTTTCAAAGTCACAGTCTTTAAGATTTTCATTATACCCAACTCATGTTTAAATAGTAATAAGGTTGGCCATAAACTGTAATTATATCTCTGTGGATATAGCAGTAGTAATGTAGTAGTACTCCTAATTAGTGGTGGAGTCAGATTGCTTTCCTACAGCTGTGTCTATCTATCTAGTGAATCTCTGCCCTCTAGCCAACAAAATGGGTGAACTCCTTCTCATCAACCGGACTGACTCTGACTTCTCATTCTCTACTGCTCTATGCTTCTCAGAAACTTAATCTTGGACGGCACGTTACATCCTGCAACACCTTGACTTCCCAGAGACCTATGCACAGGCCCTCTTTCTGGACTTCAGCTAGACATTCAACACCATCATCCCGGACATCCTCCATTCTAAACTGACCCAGCTCACTGTGCCTGCCCCTACCTGTCAGTGGATCACCAGCTTTCTGACAGACAGGAGGCAGCAGGTGAGGCTGGGGAAAACCACATCCAGCACCCGGACAATCAGCACAGGTGCCCCCATGGATGACAGCTCACTGCTGTCTTCCCTCTACACAAACAACTGCACCTCAGGGGACCCCTCTGTTAAACTCCTAAAGTTCACAGGTGAAACAATGGTCACTGGTCTCATCCGAGATGGTGAGGAGTCAGCCTAGTGACAGGAGGATGAACAGCTGGTCCTGTAGTGTGGTTGCAACAACCTGGAACTGATCACGCCCTAAACAGTACCTTGTTTTTATTTTTCTAATGCACATTCCTTTTTCTTGTTTGCACATTCTTTTTCTTTTTTGTTATCTCAGTCTTATCTCGTTTACCTGTCTACTCATTGCCTTACAAAAGAACATTGTAAATACACAGAGAGCCACTGTATCAGAGTCAAATTTCACACGTGTCCAAGACACCTGGCCAATAAATCTGATTCTGATTTTGATTCTGAAATCCAGGGTCATGGCATGTGTCAAGAGGTGAAGCTTATGTTATCTGACGGAGCCAAAGTGCAGAGCTGTCAAAATAAAAGTAGTGGTTGTCAGCGACATCAGAACTTTAACAATGTTAGATGTGATTTATTAGCAATTTTTCACAATTACAAGTTAGTCCTTATGAATGAATATAAGTTCAAACCATCTTTAAATGTCATGATTAGTTTTGAATATTAGCAATTTAAGGTAGTATACCACCAATGTACTTTCCTTCTAAATGTGAGCTAAATAGTACATTTTTTTCTAGCTAAAAGTGTAATCTTTAGACAGGCCTACTTTGTCATTTAGCTCAAAGCACTAATGTGCCTGGGTACCGTCTCACAGAGCACCTAGCATGGCTGTAGACTCCTAGCAGGTGTTCAGACTGAGTGCACTGAAACACAGTTAAGAGGCTCACTGATCTCTATAAATAACCTGGATCGCTGACCCTCTACCAAATTTCGTTGGAACCATGAAGCCACCAGATGTTGCCTGTTTGCCATACTGGTCTGCTGTCCAGTCACACACAATATGACCCTACTGCATTTGGTGTCACTTTTTGTCAAATTTCATTTGAAAATAAAGGCAGCTATGGCTTATTGTAAGGCCTATGAGTGCACCAACGAACATAGCATCACAGCTTTCTATTACTAATACCCTAAACCATCTGTGTCACCACTCAAGTATATTCTTTAGTTTAGCCAGGATCATTTGGAACTGTCTTTTGGGGCCATGCAATACTTCAGTGGTACAAACAACAATCTGACCAATCATCAATTCATGGCAGCGTAAAAGTGGCTCATCATGTGGCATGTCATCAAGTTGTCAGGAACTGCCAATGCGAACAAGATCACACCACTAGTCAAAGCGCAACCTACTGCATTACGGACTTTGTCAGCGCGACACTGTTGATGTGTACCATCGACCTCACAGCTGTCAGTGCATTCAAGAAGGGAACCATCGGTTACATCAGTGGCTTTGTTGCTTGCAAGATGCAGATGTCCGTCAAGTGTCGAAATTGTGTCACTGCCCTCACTGAGCATGCTGATGAGTCCAAAAGCCACCAACAACTGATCCACATGAAGTCCAGGGGTGGTCTCATAGTTACATCCAATAGCTTCTACCATGTGTGCCTGGAGAGAGAGCATATTTTTCAAAACTGGCAGTGTTCCACCATCCGCAAATGTGACTTCTGACATTGTCACTACAGTTCTCTGTCAGTTGGGACGGTCAGCATTTCCAGACCTGCTACAACACATGCAATCATGTGTTTTCATTGGTCAAAAGCATTTCCAGTTGCTACACCAAAGTCCGTATGCATCAAATCACCAAGCAGTACAATGATCGCCTGAAAAGGAATCGCAAGAACAAGGAGCTGAGGAAATTGATCCTATTTCAACACCAGTGAATGCAGGACTGTGAAGTGATCTTTTGTATATGGCCCTGTATATATCTTTCATCACAGATCACAGGAGTGACAACTTCCTTCCTTGCTTTGTTTACATTTGCAACCATGACGAAAGAGTATACCAAGATGGCAGCATGAGGGCCAATCAGGGATCCAGGTTATTTATCAGTGAGATCAGTGAAGGGGCTGTGTTGGTGTTGGGGGTGAGGGGTTGTAGTAGGAGAGTCATGTAGGAGTGTATGATATGGACAAGTTGTTACAAGTCCAAAGATGTGAGTGGCCTCATTCACACAAACCTAAACAAACACCAACAGTAGGAAATAAACTACTTGCTATTGATATTATGCAACACTGACAGTTGGGGAGTCGTACAAATTCCTGGGTTCCACAATCTCTCTGGACTTGAAGTGGACAACCAACATCAGTGCCATCATCAATAAGGTGCAGGAGAGGATGTACTTCCTGCATCACCTCAGGTAGTTTAACCTGCCTCAGGACCTGTTGATTCAGTTCTATAGAATAATCATGGAGTCTGTTCTCTGCATTTCCATCTCTGTCTGGTTTGGATCAGCAACCAAACAGGACAGGAACAGACTCTGCAGAAAAAATCATTGGTGCCAGTCTGCCCTCCATGGAGGACCTGTAAACCTCATGGTTCAAAAGGAGAGCAGAGAAGATTTCTGCAGACCCCTAACATCCTGGACATATTCTGTTTGAACTCATCCCCTCTGTATGGTGCTACAGAACAGTGTAAACCAAAACATCTTGACACAGAGATGGTTTCTTCCACCCAGGTCATCTCACTTATGAACAGGTAGTCTGTGTTTTAACTTGTGTACATTTTTGACTTCTGGTTTCTTACTTGTAGTGTGGTTTCATTGTGATTATATATTTCCATGCACACCAGAAGACGTTGGACTGGAGTCAAATTCCTTGTATTTCTGATAATATTTGGCAATAAAGTTTATGCTTATGCTTATCCCTCAAAGCACAGGCCGAGGTGGAGGTGTGGCAGCGATTTTTGACTCAAGCCTATTAATCAACCCTAGACCTAAACATAGTTATAACTCATTTAAAGCCTCACGCTGAGTCTCTCACACCCAAACTAGAAAGCTCCAAAGCTAGTTCTATTTGTTATTGTTTACCGTCCACCTGCTCCTTATTCAGAGTTTTAACTGAATTCTCAGACTTTCTGTCTGATTTAGTGCTTAGTACAGATAAAATAATCACAGGGGGTGACTTTAATATTCATGTAGATACTGACAATGACAGCCTCAACAATGCAGGCTGTTCATTATTAGACTCAGTTGGCTTCTCTCAAAATGTAAATAAACACACTCACTGTTTTAATCACACCTTTGATCTTGTTCTGACATATGGCATCGAAACTGAACACTTAATAGTTTTTCCCCATAACCCTCTTCTGTCAAAGTTATGGCACATGGCCTCCCTTAGTGATTTACCGAGCTACATATAAAAACATGCCATTCTTTTGGACCACCCCTCCAAATTGCTATTTTTTATAATGCTGTCAATTTCAACATCTTACTTCATAATTTAGCAGCCAAGTCAATCTGAAAAAAAAAAACTGGACTAGATTTCTAGGTCGAAGACGTTTCACCTCTCATCCAAGAGGCTTCATCAGTTCTGACTGACTGGTGTTGAACTGGAGATATTTATCCCCCTCGGTGGTGTTTCAGTCCTTTGAAGGCCAACAATGTCCCCTAACAACTGAGTCATTATAGCCCAGTATCGTTGAGAGTCGTTACCTGTCTTTGAACCTTCACCTGTGGACTGATGCCTATTGTCCTGGTGGGCATGTTTGGGCAGAGATCTCAAAACAGGATTGTAGATGGATGACAAGTTGTGTCTTAGTCCACCACCCCTATTTAGTGAGGGGTGTTCTATTTTTACAAAAATAGCTTCCTTAATTCCTCCCTCAAACCAGTGATGTTCTCTGGAGAGGATCTGGACTTTACTGTCCTCAAAAGAATGTCCTTTGTCCTTTAGGTGGAGGTGGACTGCTGACTCTGGTCAACTGGTACACTTGATACTGTTGCCCCTCTGAAAAGGAAGGCAGTAAAACAGAGGAGGCTAGCCCCGTGGTACAGCTCGCAGCTCTGCTCCCTGAAGCAGGCATCACAAAAACTGGATAGGAGGTGGAGCTCCACTATGTCAGAAGAATTTTTCTTAGCCTGGAAGGATAGTTTAATAACATATAAAAAGCCCTTCGTAGTGCCAGAACCACATATTATTCATCACTGATAGAGGAAAATAAGAACAAGCCCAGGTTTCCTTTCAGCACTGTAGCCAGGCTGACAAAGAGCCACAGTGCTGTTGAGCTTAACATTCCCTTAGATCTCAGCAGCAATAACTTCATGAGCTTCTTTACAAATAAAATCACAACTTTTAGAAAAAAATTAATCAAACCATTCCCACAACTCTCAGACATGAAAGAACCAACTCTCAGTCTCAGTTCAGGAGGCAGACACCCTCGCTACCTTTAAGATTATACTTAAGACTTTCCTTTTTGATAAAGCTTAAAGTTAGGCCTGGATCAGATGACCCTGTATGCCCGAGTTAAGTTATTTAACCAAGGTTCCACCTTCAGCACCTTCGGCTTAGCCAGTCTACATTGGAGGGGAGCAATGGAATCCAGTATATCCTGACAGGTGGAGGTTAAAAGACTTAATACTTCCTCAGGATCCATGGAGGAGGACACATCCCCCATCAGATACAGACCAGAATTTTTAAAGCAAGTAGAAAATTCTCCTGCTGTTGAAGAGGTGATTGTATATCCGGTACCAACAGGAATAGAAGGTTTGTCAAACAGTGGCAGCACATTAACATTGAATAACACAGGGAAATGATCAGAGAATCAAGAGTCGCATATTTCAGTAATAAAAACAGGCAGCCCATGGGAGATCACAAGGTCCAGTGTCTGTTCTCATGTGTAGGGCTATGCACCGACTGAGTGAGGTTAAAAGAGTCAATAATACTTAAAAAGTCTTTAAACAAAGGGTCAGTTGGGCAACATATATGAATGTTAAAATCACCAAGGATTAAAAGCCTATCAAACTTTGGCAAGATAAAACCCAGGAGATCAGGTAGCCAGGCTGACAAAGAGCCACAGTGCTGTTGAGCTTAACATTCCCTTAGATCTCAGCAGCAATAACTTCATGAGCTTCTTTACAAATAAAATCACAACTTTTAGAAAAAAATTAATCAAACCATTCCCACAACTCTCAGACATGAAAGAACCAACTCTCAGTCTCAGTTCAGGAGGCAGACACCCTCGCTACCTTTAAGATTATACTTAAGACTTTCCTTTTTGATAAAGCTTAAAGTTAGGCCTGGATCAGATGACCCTGTATGCCCGAGTTAAGTTATTTAACCAAGGTTCCACCTTCAGCATAGCCGGTCTACATCGAAGGGGAGCAATGGAATCCAGTATATCCTGACAGGTGGAGGTTAATAGACTTAATACTTCCTCAGGATCCATGTATGAGGACACGTCCCCCATCAGATACAGACCAGAATTTTTAAAGCAAGTAGAAAATTCTCCTGCTGTTGAAGAGGTGATTGTAAGTCTGGTACAAGCAGGAATAGGTTTGTCAAACAGTGGCGGCACATTAACATTGAATAACACAGGGAACTGATCAGAGAATCAAGAGTCGCATACTTCAGTAATAGAAACAGGCAGCCCATGGGAGATCACAAGGTCCAGTGTATGTCCTAGCTCATGTATAGGGCTATGCACTGACTGAGTGAGGTTAAAAGAGTCAATAATACTTAAAAAGTCTTTAAACAAAGGGTCAGTTGGGCAACATATATGAATGTTAAAATCACCAAGGATTAAAAGCCTATCAAACTTTGGCAAGATAAAACCCAGGAGATCAGAGAACTACTGAATAAAGTCCTTATTAAATTTAGGAGGACGATAAACCACTACATACAGCAGTGGTTGAGAGAGTTCTATCACAAACAGCTGTAGTTCAAAACTTGAATAAGTGTCCACTTTCAGCTGGCAACATAGAAAACAGTTTTTGAAAAAACGTGTCACAAGTGTCAGCTGAGATTGGCTCCAGCCCCCCCCCCACGACTCTATTCAGGAATAAACAGTATAGATAATGGATGGATAGAAAGTGGTGGGGGCATGTTCTCTGCTAATTTCACACTCACACTCCATCATGCTGGCTACTGCTCTGACTCTGTTATGTACTGATATCACAAGACAGCTTTTCACCTCGATGATAAATACTGTCACATTTTAATATCACAAGATCTTGTGGCACAAGATCTCATCTCACCCCTATTAATAATGTAATTTTAGAATCAGAATCAAAATCAGAATCAGCTTTAATTGCCAAGTATGTTGATCATACAAGGAATTTGTTTCCGGCACAGAAGCTCTCAGTGTGTATTTATGCAACACACAATAGAATAGTGCAATCAAAGGCAGGGGAAGGGAGAAGGAGGAGAAGGAGGAGAGGCAGTATTTATTTATTATTTGAGAACAGTTTCCCCAAGTATCAATGTCCAGGCTGCTGAATTAAAAGAAACTCACTCAAATTTTAGATCACACCATAAAGGCAAAGGTAACCAACATATGCCGAGTGTTTTACTCTCCAACCCTAACCTTATCCCAGGATGTAACGCTTGTGACAACAACTGGTTCTCACAAAAAACAGAAGGAGGAGAACACTGAGGTTTACCTCTGAGGAAGCTGAGCAGGCTGCCTTTCTCCATCAGCTCAGTGATGATGTAGTAAGGTGTTGAAGCTGTGCAGACAGCAAACAGACAGATGAGATGACGATGCCGGAGACTCTTTAAAATCTGAACTTCCCTCTGAAACTCCCGGTGGTTCAACTCTGAGTCTACAGAAAGAGAGACAGAGAGAATTGAACAAAGAACAAGAAGAACAAAGAAAATGGAAATGAAAAAGAGGAACACAGACAAAAGAGGAACAGGGGAGAAACCCATACAGAAAATTGAAATCTAGAAAATCACATTGGAATATTGACCATTTAACAAATATGACAAACTGCAAAATGACTCACAGCAATAAAGCTAAAGTTGGCATTTTAAAAACTGTGTCAAAAATGGGATTTTCTTTGTTTTCCAAGTAGAGCTACATTAGAGTTTTATAAATGTAATGTTCATGTACAGTAGCACAGTGATTTGGTACCTTTTTGTGTTTTTGATTATAATATGCTAATTGGTATTCATACAGTGTGCAAAGTATGCAACCTGACTTTGTGCAGCTCTAGTACACTATCGAGAGATGCATGAGGGAAATATCTTTGCATGCTGCTTGTGAGATCACTGTGGTTAAAGTTCAACAAAAGGGATTTGATCTTGAGGTTTGAAGCTGGGCAGACAATGTGCACTATTGTTAATCTTGTATGTTGCATGCTACTCACAATACAAAATTAATAAATGTTAGAAAAACCAAAAAATTAAACAGAAAACTAGCCATGATTTCAGTGTTCACAACGAACCTAAGCATTGAACCCCCGGTTGATTTTGTTCACTGATAATTGCCGTAAATCAAATAAGATGACATCATACTCAACAATGGTGAAAAAGAGAGGGAAGCAGCATTACTTTGTGTACTATGAACAGAAATGAGAAGTAGCACTGTAGCTGATCCCAGCTGACATTGGGCACGAGGCGGGGTGCACCCTGGATAGGTTGTCAGTTTATCACAGGTAGGGATGGGAACCGATAATATGTTGTTGATATCAATTACATTATCAATTCTGCTTATCAGTCCAATTCTTTACTGATTCCTGATCAGTTTTCTGTATTGAGAAAAAAGTAGGCCTACACAGGTTTTCGGCACCAAAGGAGCTGATTTATCATTTCTGAACACAGTGTAGAATGTCTGCCTAATAATATTTGAACATGTTAAAATAAATTACAATACTTTATGCAGTGCGTTACTCCATAAAGCACTGAAATCTATGCCAACTAATAAATCACATGGACCTGATGGATTCCCTGCTGAATTTTCTAAACACTTCAATCCATCTGAAATAGATATTCTCCTAAACAACATAAAATTACCAACACTATCTGATACATATGAATACGGCAGCTTTGACACTCCTTTTGAAACCCAATAAAGACCCAACCCACCCTTCCAGTTACCGTCTGTCACTTCTTAACACAGATTTAAAAATTATCACCAAGGAATAGAGACCGTTACTCCAGTAATAATCCATCCAGATCAAACAGGCTTCATTAAAAGTAGACATGCTTCAGATAACACTGTAAACTATTTAACTTAATCAACCTTGCACAACAAAAACAGACTGACATCATAATTGTATTATTAAACGCAGAAAGAGCATTTGATAAAGTTAACTAGACATTTCTCTTCAACACACTATGAAGGTTTGCTTTTAGAGTCTATCACCCACTGGATTAAAACACTATATACATCACACTTCATCAGGAAACCAGACAAGGATGCCCACTCTCACCATCTCTATTTGCCACTTTCATTGAACCTCTAGCAGCAGCAATACAACAGAATAATACATGCCTCAAAGCACAGGCCGAGGTGGAGGTGTGGCAGCGATTTTTGACTCAAGCCTATTAATAAACTCTAGACCTAAACATAGTTATAACTCATTTGAAAGCCACACCCAAACTGGAAAACCCAAAAGCCAGTTCTATTTGTTATTGTTTACCGTCCACCTGCTCCTTATTCAGAGTTTTTAACTGAATAGTCAGACTTTGTCTGATTTAGTGCTTAGTACAGATAAAATAATCACAGTGGGCGACTTTAATATTCACGTAGATGCCGACAATGACAGTCTCAACAGTGCATTCAGTTCATTGTTAGACTAACTGGCTTTTCTCAAATTGTAAATAAACCCACTCACTGTTTTAATCACACCTTTGATCTTGTTCTGACATATGGCATCGAAACTGAACAATTAATAGTTTTTCCCCATAACCCTCTTCTGTCTGACCATTTTCTATTAACTTTTGAATTTACATTAATGGATTATACTCTGTGGGAGAATATTCCTCTATATCAGATATCTGACAATGCTGTTATCAAATTTAATCATTGCTGCAGCATTCTTACAACCCCCTGCCAGCTGTTGTGCTTATACATCAGTGACACTGGCCTCTTTTCCTCTCTCCTTCTCTCTCCTCAGTATAAGGTTGTTGGCCCCAAAGAGAATGAAGATGCAGTCAGCTCCCCTACCAACACCACCCCCACTCAGGAGAACCCACCTTTCTGAATGTATCCCTCCTCCTCCTCCTTGCTGCCACCTCCCTCACGACCTGAGACTGTACTGTTCTCACCTCACATTGCAGAGTCAGCCCTGACATTTGACCCTCCGCCTCACTGACTTGCCACTGCTCATTTTCCTCGAGTTCTGTTCATGATGCCAGAGGTGAAGGACTCCTGGGTTTGAGATGGGACAAGCGTACCCTGCCGGTCCCACTGCTTGCACCACAGCTTCCATTCTTCTGCCACCCTGTTGAGGAAAATTTTTGTTGTCTAAACCTGAATATCTTAAAAGGCCTTTCGTTAGTATATCACCTCTGCCTATTTTCACTCCCTCCCCACTATGATCCTCACCTGTTTTAGTTCAAAATAAATCAACACTCAGCTGCTGCACTCTTCAGATGCCTTTATGAACAGGTTTGCTTTGATCAGAAAGTCACTTAAAGGCTACAAAGGCATTATACCCTGTACTAAACTAAATGATAAAGTTTGTCTTTCATTCTGGGATAGAGATTTCCCAAAGGTGCTGCTGAAATTGTACATGAAAAATTAACCTTGCAGTGTATTTGGGCCCCAAAGCTTAGAAACTAGGCTATCTGCAGAGTGAGTGTGGAGGGGGATTTTAGGGCCATAAGCAAGATGGTTTACATGCTAAATCTGCTAGTTCTCTTCTTGCTTCTTATGTCTTCTACTTAAATGTGTTGCTACAATTTCTCCACCTTCTTCTCAAATATATACCTTTTGGTTCACAACTCTGCGGTTGCCCATGATGTGGACACAGGCTACACTCACAGGTTTGACCGGGGGGGGGGCGGCAGGATCCAGACCTACTACTGCTGCATGCATGTGCATATCTCATCTCAGTTGTACCATACCAAGCGTGCAAAAACAACTGAGGTCTCTAGTGACACCCTAAAACCACCCCAGGATGTAAAAACAAATCATTTGTATTATAAACTATTTTACACTGCTTTGCATAATGTTTTTACATAACTTTTATCAACATGTATAAATATATATGAATAACTATATTGTCACTAGTGCTGCCGAAAGATAGTTATCAGGTTGGGAGGTTTGAAAATAGCAGGGGGAGGCTGAACAAACTTTCAAAATATGGAAAATGAAGACATTAGTCAGTTTCACAGATATGAGTTATTATCTGCCGTTTTTGTTACAAGTACATCTGTGGTCTAAGAATGTTTCCACATCTGTGAAACTGACTCATTAATGAGCTGCAGTACTTTGTACCTGGCTGAGCACAAGACAAATTAGGCCAAGACAGGAAAGAACGCAATCAAACTGGTTTCACTGGACAGACTGGGGCAGTGCTTGATTTCACATGTGCTGCTGCAGCATGTTCACATCACCATTTGCAAGTCAAAATCAAACCAAGCACTTCTCAAGGGTTGAAAGTGGTTTGTTCCCTTCCTTTTGTTGAAACGCGCATCTCAATGTGAGACGCTGCTTTGGTGTGTACACTACCTGAGGAATGTCAGTGCTTCTCTATTGGCCTTACTCACTTTAAATGGTTCACCCATTACAATTTAGCAGATAGAAAATATTTTTTGTTCTCCCTTTTAAAGTTCTTTTGAAGAAAAGGGGGGTTGGCATTAACTTATTTTGAGTTTGACAGAATGTATTATATAAAACCAGCTGGCTGCCATAGCAGAAGCCCTGCCAACAACACCTTAATGTACACGAACGCACTCCTGTTAACGTACACTAAATGTCCTCACAGACACATGTTGCATGAGGCCAAACTAACAAAAAATCAGTTTCTCTTATTGCCTATACCGCCTGTACTGTCTCAGCACATGCAGAGCAATTAAACAGAATCTCTTAAAGCCTACATGGCCTCAGAAATGACAGTGAAGTTGAGAGAACAGATTTGGTGGCACTGTCACTTTTCTCTTGAAAGTAGATTAAAAAAAAATGAAAGTTGTACTGTAGATATTTTTTTTCCTGCCGTTACAAGGACAACATTGCCACTAGTTGTTATAAAATTTTACTTTGTTGGCTAAATTTCACACCAAAAAGTGTACTGCTACCAAATGCTTTCTGCAACTTGTGAAAAAAAACTGTCCACTTTGACTTTTTGGTAACGCCAAAAACCTGCCACTGAAGCTGACTTCAGTGCATTGTCTAAAAATGTCACACAAATAGAAATATAAAATGTCCCATCAAACTGCTTCAAAAACCTTTGCCAGTGTGTTACATCTTAAGTGTCATTTACTGTTTTGCTTGTTTTGATCACTTTGGTAGTTAATATATGCCTGTTAGGTGAACTGTTGTTTCTTTTGGCTTTCCTTCTGTTGGGAGGGGTGGACTCGTACAAATAACATATCTTTTGTAAATTTGCCATCAGTTTAAAAACAAGTTGCCACTATTTATAAATCTTACAGAATCTCTTCCTCTGAATCTCATGGAATCCGACTTTGTTTTGCCAAGATGGAAACATAAGAAATATTAACCTGTCAGTCTTTTACTTCAGAATTGACTCCTATTTTTGTTACACCAAGTGAAGAAACTTGGTAGGGAACGGATCTCACTCTGTCACTGTGGTTATCCCCCTGGGAGCTGGGGGCTGTGATTACTTATTATGTTTCTATACCTGTTGGTTCTAAA